TTTATGAGACATTTAAAAGTATTATTATTATTATTATAGAGTAGTGTTGACTACAAATGAGTGTAATTTGACTGCAATTTGATTAATATTAACATTAATAGTGTTGTAATGAAGAGTGGGTTTCGGCGGATTGAACTGAACAAAAGTGTTTGGGAAGTACCACAACACTATGACCAGCTGGAACCAGTCGGGTCGGGAGCCTATGGACAAGTATGGTATGTATGATACACCATTGACCATGGTCATGCACCATTGCACCATTGGTGATGTGCACAACACATGTATTGATGTCAATGTTTGTAATTGTGATCAGCGCTGCGGTTGAGTCAGGCCGTGGAGTGAAAGTGGCCATCAAGAAGTTGAACCGTCCGTTTCAGTCGGCCATTCACGCCAAGAGGACGTATCGCGAACTCAGACTCTTGAAGCATATGAACCACGAAAATGTATGCCATTATACCCTATGTATTGCATTCAGACAATTGCCAACATTTACATGATATCAGGTGATAGGACTGTTGGATGTGTTCACTCCGTCTACAAGTTTGGATGAGTTCCAAGACGTGTATTTAGTGAACCATTTGATGGGCGCAGACCTGAATCGTATAATAAAGACCCAGAGGTTGAGTGACGACCATGTTCAGTTTCTGGTTTATCAAATACTTAGAGGTCTTAAGTATATTCATTCGGCAGGAATTATACACAGAGTGTGTTATCATATCTCGTAACTACTGATCTGTCTCTCCAAGAGTTTTGATTTACTTGACAATCAGTTGAATCACTATTATGTGAGACTACAGAAATTATTTATATAAGAAAGTGACAATACAAGAAAGTTGCAATGCTATGCTTGTATACTTGTATTGAGTGTCAACTGTACGCAATGTTTTCGCCAAAACACATGACTCATAATAAGCAAATGTTACAGAAATTATTTATATAAGAAAGTGACAATACAAGAAAGTTGCAATGCTATGCTTGTATACTTGTATTGAGTGTCAACTGTACGCAATGTTTTCGCCAAAACACATGACTCATAATAAGCAAATGTTATGCATGTAATATGATCTTTAGGCGTACAGTAAACACTCAATACAAGTATACAAGCATAGCATTGCAACTTTCTTGTATTGTCACTTTCTTATATAAATAATTTCTGTATTATGTATTTAATAGAGAAACCGTTTATTTTTTAAAGCTAAATATTAAAGTATACAGTCATTAATATTTCTCTTTGAGTAACGCTAATAGATATGTTGGTAAGCAAATATATTAAACATTACTCTTAAGTATATTCATTCGGCAGGAATTATACACAGAGTGTGTTATCATATCTCGTAACTACTGATCTGTCTCTCCAAGAGTTTTGATTTACTTGACAATCAGTTGAATCACTATTATGTGAGACTACTGTATTATGTATTTAATAGAGAAACCGTTTATTTTTTAAAGCTAAATATTAAAGTATACAGTCATTAATATTTCTCTTTGAGTAACGCTAATAGATATGTTGGTAAGCAAATATATTAAACATTACACTTTAATATCTATGAAATCAACCAAAAACGCTTCCAAAACGCTTCCCAGCGGTTTCCCTAGTATTTAACTACAATTGGATGTACGGCTAGTACTTGAAAACTCTTTGGGCTATAGATTATTATATGTACTCTAATACTAACTATACTAATAAGACGATGACTGTTAGGACCTGAAGCCAAGCAATATAGCCGTCAACGAAGACTGTGAGCTCAAGATATTGGACTTTGGGTTAGCGCGACAGACAGAGGCAGAGATGACCGGATATGTGGCCACTCGTTGGTATAGAGCGCCTGAGATTATGTTAAATTGGATGCACTATAACTTAACAGGTTTGTTGACAAATATACAAATTAGTATCATGTTTGTAACCACTAATGCATTATTGCGCCATTCAATGAGACTCAAAGTGACTTTTTTATTTGTTTCATACGTTTAATAGTAAGTCATTCAATATTTTAATGCTCCAATAATTACAATACATATTAGACTAATACTGAATCAGAAAAATGTGAAATAACCAAAATATCCTTTCCATCAATATTAAGATTTCCCAATTAAAAAACCATATAAAAAGTACCTAGGTTAAGAATGGCAAGGGAAAAACATGAATGAGCTAATGTGCACAAATATGTTTGATAACCATAACTTGATTATACAGTATGCGTGAACCCGATTCTATCGGTCGAACCTTTTGTTTTGTTAACTAATATTATGCTTAATTAGTGGACATTTGGTCCGTGGGTTGCATTATGGCTGAACTCATTACTTCAAGGACTCTCTTTCCTGGAACGGATCGTAAGTATAGTTCAAATATACAGTAATTAGAATAATGTTGATTAAAGTTAATAAATGATGATTTGGTTGATTGAGATATCGATCAATTGCTTCGTATAATGAATTTGTGCGGAACTCCTGACGAAGAATTCATGAAGAAGATCACATCAGAAGAGGCGCGCAATTATATTCGATCGCTTCCCATAATGAAGAAAAAGAATTTTAAAGATATGTTCAAAGGCGCCAATCCTGACGGTAAGCGCAAACTATAACAGTATAGTATGTTTTATGCATTCATATTTAATATATACTAACAATCCATTTAAATGATTAGCTATTGATTTATTGGAAAAAATGCTTGAATTGGATGCGGATAAGAGACCGACGGCAGAGGTTGCGTTAGCTCATCCATACTTAGCTCAATATTATGATCCCACAGATGAGCCCATTGCTGGTCTGTATTGTTTGCATTTTGCTGTACCTCTGTTTGTGCTGTTTTGACGATATTCTATGTTTTTAGATCGTTATGACGAGTCGTTTGAAGAAAGGGATCTATCAGTTAATGAATGGAAAAGTAAGTAAACATATCTCAAACAATTCTTGTATATTTAATAATCATTTGAAACTATATAAACATTTAGGACTAGTGTACGACGAAATGATGAGTTTTACGCCCTCTCCCATCGCATAAGCTATGAGTTATTAAATTTTTAAATTTATGTCACAAACTATTTATAAACATAAGTCTATTTATGTTTTGATAAATATAGTATGTATTGAACTATACTTTTTAAATATAGAGATATTTGATAGAGATTTTTGTTGGCAAATAATAATGTTCTCAATAACTCTTCAATCAAACTACATATTGGCAGCGCTTTCTTCAAATCAATTACTTATTGAGTATTCATTCATTTTAAATGCAATTGTTTTTATAGAGTTTAATATTATTATAAACTGTATTTACTATACTGTGCAATACTTTACATGTTATAAAGATATATATTGTTTACGATATGATATATATAAATAAAGTATTAATTTTACTTATTATTCGTGATTGAAATTTTATGTGTTTTTACATTTTCTATATTGTTATATCATATAACTAATTACGTTATAAAATCTAGCTTATTGCCCATTAAAAGGGGTATATAATTGCTAACCAACTTTGCAAACATTAGGCCTTTTCCATAGCGTTCTCGTGTATTGCTTAAGGCTCTGCCTGTAGGCAGCGATCAGAGGCAAAGAGA